CCCCCCACCCCATGATACTGTAGTGCTCCTTTTAGAAACAAATTCCATGCTGCTCAAGCAGACTCCCGTCTTCTCAGGGTCTATGCCGCCCTGTTAGTGTCAGGTGGGGATCAGGACATTGCCTCCACTGCTGAGGCAAGCAGGTGACTCTGATGGAGGCCCCTAGCCCTAACACGTCAGCGCCACACCGCTCAGTCACCACAGACAGGCTCCACCCGGGACCCCGGCTGTCTGATGCCTGTGGCCTGCCCGTTCCCAGGCCGGGATTCTCAGGACTTCCTCTACTGTCACCTCTCCATCCTTAAAAATGCTCCCTGCAGCATGATCAGATGACCCGTGGACTCTTGGCAGGTTTATCAATTTCAAAACAAAACAAAACCTGACTATTGACCCGAGTCCCTTGCAACAGAAAAGCCTACACTTTCAGGCTGGGTAACTTCAACATGACCACCCAGCCTTGGCTGAATAAAACCCATGGCCTCCTAGAACCCAAAGGAACCTGGGTGCAGCGCCTCTGGGCCAGCTGTAGTTGCAAAGCTGAGCAAACGGACACCCCCGGCCAGAGGGATGTGCCAAGGGCTGCAGGCCCCAAGCCCTGCTGTGGGGCCGCGAGCTCAGCTGGGCCGCAGTCCACTTACCCCGCTGCCCACTTCTTCCCAACACTTGTACAAGCTGCTAGTTTTTAAAAAGGTTTTCTTTCTTTCCATTGGCCTCCTTGCCCTTGTCGATTAGTCAGGGGAAAGGCTCCGATTAAAGCGCCTGGTATCTTGTTCTGTGGCAGACCTCCTGGGCGTGGGGAGGGGTCAGCTTTTAGAACCGCTTTCAATAGCCATCCTGTAACATTTTTTTTTTCCTTTCTGAATTTGTCTGTTTTCTTTTTCTAAACCTGAACTAGGAAACTGGAACGAATTAGACTTTAAGCTTTCCTTTGGCCAAAGCTAAATTAAACGTGTGGCGTTATTAATACCCTCCCTGCCAGGGCCGTGCGGGGCCGCGAGCAGGTGGACACACACCCCTCCGGCTGGAATCGGTCAGTGAGGCCTGCTATCCTGTCCCAAGGCGGTCCTCCGTCCCACGGCCACGGTGATGCTGTCTCTCGTTATCTGGCTCCTTGGGGTTACGGATGCCAGACTACTTACTGCCACACTTTAAAAAAGAGACTTCGACCCTGACATGCTGGAAGCTTCCATATGCAGGAAGATTTCGTACCATTACAGTTTCTTTTCCCTCTTCATGGCTGAACCCTTCTATACTTTTAACTGAAAGAAGAGAAAGAGAACAGCCAAGTTCATTGGCTCTTTCCTACCAGTCTCTCCTTGCCTCAGCTGGAACACTAGGCAAGAATTCTTAGGCTTCTAGCATTTATTTCAGGAGCATGTGCCGAGTTCCGATTCTCTGTCACCTCCACGTTCTGACTGGTGTCACCTCTGAGCATGCGCGGGCAGCCCAGCGGGTCCCCGACAGTCAGCCTGTCAGCAACACTCTCCATGACTCTGCCTTAAAATGCTCTGCCACCACTACCGTGGGAGAGTAGCAGCATCGAGCTCCCTGGAGAGTCGGCCCCTGAAATCAGAATTGGGGTGAAAAAGCTGAGACCTTTTTGGTGGCCTAGAACCTACTATAGTGAGGCGCCTCTAACAGCCTGAGAACAACGGTCATAGAAATTGAGAAAAGACTCTTTGGACCTTCCGAGCCATCCTGCTGCAGTGTCACAAAGAAGCTGACATCAACGAGAGGCGCGTGGGAACACGAAGGGAGGCACAGAGCATGGGCTCGGCCGGCCCGGCCTGGGGGGACGGTCTTCACCCCCAGGGGCCCCTTGGCTCCCGGCTCCTCCCTTCCTTCCGTCCTGCAGGGAGCAGGCTTCCCACCCACACACCTGCTTGCGGTCGGAACAGTACCAGCGTTCGAGCAAACACCAAATAAATAAGAGGTAGTGGGAGTGGGACAAGCGTTCCCGGCGGGGGCGGGGGGGGGGCCTCCACAGTGCCAGCTCCAGGCTCTCCCAACGGACGTCTGTTCACACAGAACTTTCTAGGAAGCTTATGAGAACTGCCAAAAGAGGTGGTCGAGCCACTGGTTTTCTAGACCTGCTGCTTTACAGGCTGAGCTTCAGAGCCAAAAGCAGCGCAGAAGTCTCACAGAAAAGCTTCCATGTGAAGGCGGGCGGCTGTGCATGCTCCGTCCTCCCGGGAAGGGAGGAAAGCAGACTTACCTGCAGTGCCCCCGTCACCTGGGCTCACGGGGAGCCCACCCAGTTATCTGAGCCTCAGAGAGAGCGGTGTGTTAGACTCAGAGATTAAATTTGGCCTCATATTGCACTGGTTCAAAGGACACGACCCTTTGTGGGGGCGGGAAAGGAAGAAAACAAAGCTACTGAGGAATGCAAACTGGCCCTGGGATTAGTCCACACTGCTAGGCAAATGAGAGAGAGGTTCGGGGCGGGGCTGAGGGGAGGGTGAAGAGGCATTTCAACGCCAGATCCGAAAACCGTTGCGCATCCCGTCAATTGTCAAAAGGACCTCCATCCCATTTCCACTGTGTGAGCTAGCCACTCAAACTCTGGAAACAGGACAGCTCTGAAACGTGCGTCCACACCTCCTGTCCACGTCAGCAGTACGCAAGTTAACACTGATGGGCCAGCAGCCTTAGCTGTGTTCGTGATGGGTCTCGTTGTAGTCCATGATACGGAGCTGTCCAACACTGTCCGGGGGCGGGGGGGACGGGTGCGGGCCGTCCGCGGGCAAGGGAGGCTTGGCTTCCACGCCCGCATCTTTGCCCAGTTCTGTCTTTAGGGCCTCGGGAAGGCTACTGACGGTCACGCCATCCTCGTCACACTGGCTCTCGCTCTTATTACGAAATAACTCTCGAGCCTTCATGCCCAGGAAGCTTTTGGAACTGGGCAGTGAGCCGACAGTCGTAGGGGTGCTGGAAGAGGGCTCGCCCACCGCAAACTCCCAGCGGCTGCTGAACGGGCCGGCCCGCTGGCTGGAGGGCTTCTCGGGGGTAGAAAGCTCACTGCTGCTGCTGCTGCCACCTCCGCCTCCTCTCCCCCCACCGCTGCCCCGGGTGCTGCCAGGGCGGGGGGGGTTGGTCTCCCCGTTGCGGCCAGATGCCTCTTCACTGTGCCCCGTTACAGAATCCAAGCAGCCATCGTTACAACAGTCGAACCTGTAAGAAATCCAAGGAGAAGAAAAACAGGCGGTGATTGCAGCGCCCGGGCCTGGGAGGCGTGGGGTTACACGGACGCTCGCTCACACTGACACTGGCCTCTGTCAGCCTGCTCTGTGTGTTATCACAGGAGACTCAAGCATGAAGCCACACCAGGAGAACCTATGAGCAGGGGTAGCACAGGGCAATCTTAAAATACAACACTCCCTGTGACCACATGGAGTGCTTTGGGGCCAAGGAAGAAGGAACACGGGACGCATTCTGAGGACGCAGTCCGGCTGGCTCCGAGACAGAGGGAGCTGAGCGCCGCGGCCCCGTCTGTCAGGCTGGGACTGCTCCTCCCACCTCCTGACGCAGTCCCGCCTCTGCGAGTGGCAGCTCAGAGACAAGGCCACACATGCCAACTCTTCATGCCTACCTTTCTTCTACTGCCTCAGCTGCTTCTGTTTTTTCTTCTTCAAGTTTTTTCAGGAGGCCATCTTTCTCCAACCTGCTATATAAATCTAAGATCTCCAATTCGAATACTTGGGTAATCCTCTTCTGCGCCTCATACCTGCTTTCTGCGGCCTGCAGCTGTCCTCTGAAAGATACAGACCCCCCCGAGTGTGGGCAGCTCCACTTCCCAAGGAGCACATCCCTGCAGAAGCCTTTCCCGGGGGAGTTACCTTGCCTGGAGCTTGACATCCTCTAAATACTTCTTCTGTTCCAAAAGAAGGTGATCTTTCTTGGCCAGGTGAGATTCCAGTTCCAAAATCCTTTTCTGGGAGGTGTCGAGCCTCTGATTCTGCTGGAGAACATGGCTTCTGTTTTTTTCTAGTTCTTTCCGATACGCAGCTTTCATCATTTCCACTTCCTAAAAGAGGCGCTGGAGTTAGTACTTTTAGAAAATGAACATGCCATATCCACTTTGAAAAATCCAGGTAATAAGCGCAGAGAAGGTACTTTGGTATACTGCTAGTGGAAATACTGGGTTGTCGCAAAAGTCATGACATATTTTTTTCTGTTTGTTATTGCAAAAATGCGTCATGACTTTTCTGACAACCCAATATAAACCGGTACAACTTTCTGGAAAGTAAGCTGGTGTTAAGTAGTAGCCTAGTAACCCCTCCTGAAACTTATCCCCAAGGAAATCATTTGAAACATGAACCGACACTTTGGCACAAAAAGTAATTATCACAGCATATTTAGAAGAGCAAAAGAAACCTAGAAACACTGTTAAAGCTAATGTCAGGGAAACAAGTAAATTAAAGTACATCTTACGAGTTTTTTTAAATGATATGCATCAGTAAAACGATAAAAAAGCAGACTATAAAACCCTGTGACTAGATGATGATCAACTACGCCAACACATCCATTCACACATCTGTTCACACAGCACCAAATGACAATACGCCAACATCCCACTGTGCTTCAGCAGTGTATTGTGGGCCATGTGTTTTCTTTTCTAGCCTTCTCCCTCTCCTCGCGCCAGCGTAGGTGAAGCTCGAGAACCAAACAGAATGAGCAGCTTCGCGAAGGCAAAGCAGCACCTCGGACGGGGAGGCCTGATGAGGTTCGTCCATCATGTCTGGCAAATGGCCGGCCTGCTGATGGATCGAAACAGCTGAAACCCACAGCAAGTCTGCAGGAACGCTCAGAAAAGCGGTCAAAGCGGCTTCCCTAACAAGCACATGTTCCATTTGTGTTGTCTGTTTTTACTGGGGTGAAACACAGATAAGAAAAGTTACCACACGTTTGTGTTTTTGAAAAGATAAGAAGCCGTAAGGAGCAAGGAGAGAAGCTTCCAGGAAGGCGTCCCTGGCTCGAGGCCGACCAGTGAGCGCAGTGCTCGCTGGGTGCAGAACGCCACAGACTGAAGCTCAAAACTGGGCACCGGGAACGCCGCCATCCCAGCTGTGCCAATGGCTCCACACGTCCGCGCAGGTCAGGCAAGCAAATCGGACCTGCCATGAATGACAGCAGCCATTCATGGAGAACCAAACAAGGCACAGAGCGAGGGGCATCCACGAGCTTTCACCAGCCTCACGATCACGGCACGCAGTGCCGCCGGCCCTTCCGGCCACTCCCAACCTGGTGTTTAGATACCCACTGCCCCACACTTGACTGAGCGAGAGAAAGCTAGCTCGGTCCAGGGGCAAGGTTCCCGATGGGCGCACGACACTCCTGGCCTATGGCCGCACAGGGAGTCTGGTGGAGGGCTCCTGGGAAAGCTTCTCAGCTGAGAGGCCCGCAGGGAGCGATGCTCTCCAGGACATCACGGCGGCTACCCGGGACAGCGGTCCCTTCAGCACACACCCCGCACCATGAGCACAGCTCGCTGACGCCAAGGCCGACAGAACAGGTCAGGCAGCGCAGGCTCCCTGAGGCTGTTCCTAGATTGCTCACTTGATCAATCCAGAACTCACCCGCCTCAGGACTCCGTCTCAAGTGACATAATGAAATGGCTTATTGGAAAGCCAGTTTAGTTTGGCTTTGGTCGCTGCTTACGAGGGAAGGCATCCTGTGCCCAGTTTTATAAACAGGTCAGCTGGCTTGCTAGAGGCCCCAACTGTCCGAGTGTTCCAACCACGAGACGCCCCAAAACAAGGCCGTCTCTACCTGTCTCCGGGGACGTTAGGACGCATGTAAGTGACTTTCCCGGAGATCCTCTTGGCCCGCAGTTCTCTCTTCCCCCCTTTCTTTTCCCAAAGCGATTATACTTCCAAAATAAGTGACACCTGGTTTCTAGAGAAAGTTCCACATTTAACATCCTTCTAAAGGGAGTCTGAATCTGCGAGCTGAGAGAAGCTGAGAAATAAGGAGTAATTCCATTATAAAAATTACATCTCTCTGGTTCCAAGACTACTCTCTCTATTTGGCCAAAAGAGATGCTTTACAAAGAACGCCCAGGTGTGATGGAGAAGTTAATGACAGGAAACATCTGAGCATTTACTGTTCAAGTTCCATTCCCGACTCATTCGCTAACATTACCCGAGGCTATTTATAAAGTGACACAAAACTTCTGCTTCAACACCATTGGTGAGGCTGTAATTAACGTAAGATCATCCTGATGCTGGCCTTGTTGCCAGGACTGAACCTCCATCTGCTGACATTAAACTCGACATGAAAAGGGAGAAAAAATACGCACACCAGTACATACCCAGTCCTGACGATTGCGTTTAACACGAGTGGCTGCCCATCCCCGCCCTCTCTCTCCTCCCCTCCCCGCCCT